GCAGCTCCACTACTGATTTCTTTACAGGGTAAGGGGCAACTGGGCATCTTCAGACTGCAACTGCAACCACTGTGACTGCGTCCTACGACGACGACGAAGCAGAAGCAGCAGGAAGAGGAGCGGTAGGTAGTACCACTTGTAGGAGCAGCAGCAACAGCAGTCGCAGCTGGAGTTGACTGGGTAATCGTCGCAGCAGCAGTGCTCACCAGGGCGGACGCTCAAGCAGGGATGATCCTTGCATGTCTACTTCAAATCCAAACAGACACAATGGCCTTTTGGTGTTCTTGGCTCAGTGACATCTCCTGGGCAACATGCAGGTGCTGTTCGCGGGACATGAAGTACGACGCCGCGTCTCCGCCCCAATGCCGCCATGTGTTGCTTCTGGATTCAGTTTGTCGCTAGCTGGTGATGATAGTCGATTGTGATCATAGTAATGCTGATGCTGATGATGACGATGATGATAATGATGATTATTAAGGTGGTGATCGTGATGGCGGTGATGGCCGTGAAGGTGAGGAACAGAACGATGATGCTGACGAGGTGACGGTACTGTAGTGGCGATACTGGTGAGTGATGGGGATTTTGGCGGCAGTGGGGACCGTGATTAGAGTGATGGGGATAATTGTGAACACAATCACCCTCATAATAATCGATGCTTGGCTGCTGTTGCATTGTACTGCCCCTGTTCTTGACGAAGACAACAAGTATCGTTGCGTTGTTGTTGACCATCTTCCACTGTTGGTGGCCGAACTAGCATTCACAGTCGCCTTATTTTGCGACTGCTACCTTCTGCCATGATTGCAGAAAAGGAAGACAACCTACGTACTTTCACCAGAACCATCAAGGCCACAATCTCGAATGTTTATGATAACTGTTCTTGCGGGCTGTATCGACCTTAGTCCTGCTCCTGGGTGCAAGCTTAGCTCCTGTGCTTTCACTCCAGCTTACCTGTGCTTGCGCGGAACGGCGACGAGTTCGACTCTTCGTGATTGCTGTTGGGAATCAGTTTCGAACCTTCTGAATTCAACCACTACGCGTCGTCTACGCGCATTACTTATGGTTACACGCGAGATGGAGCTGTTGCGCAGTGGCAGATCAGGTTCAGCTACTTGGCAACATCCTCACACCAAGGCACTGGAAAAGCCATGCTTCCTGAGCCAATTGTTGAGAACTTGGTTCCTGGGCTTGATCAGCAGGACAAAGTGAGGGGGCTTGGCATGGACCTCGGGCATTGGGGTTCAGGCGTGAACGAAGCCTGTGGTGCTTTCAACATCCAATGGAAGAAGACGTCCATGAAACGTCTAGCTTAGAAGAACTATTGAGAGATGTTGAGGATGCCACACTGCTTTCCGATCCACAAGTTAAAGCTTCAGCCCCCAAATAAATATCGGCTGCCACTTCACACCTTGGAGCTTGGCCACGAAGACCCCGATCCTGTCAGTACTCCGGCCAAGCTTCATCTCCTCCCGCAGTTCCTGCCTCTGCTGCCTTCTCACCTGTGTCGGGTGTGGCGATGACATACCGCCCCGTTTGACAAAGATCTCTCCACAAGCAAGCATGAATATCTACATACGGACATACATGCTTACGTACTTGCCTACATGCATGCATACATACATGAACCCCGTAGTACGGCCTCAATCTGACACCAGACGTCTAACTCCCTCACATGCAATTCTCTCTAGGATCTAGCCAAGACTTCTGCACAGAAGGGCTTAGGTTTCCACCCAACAAGAGGAGGGATGCAAGCTCAATGGACAGCTAGACTTCGACAGGCATTCAGGCAATGGATCAAGCGCTTCCAATTCTTCAGTGGAGTTCCTTGTACTCCTTGGGCACGGTTTCGAACGTGTTTCCTGGATCTCCAATCCAGATGTCGAGGCTCTGATCCTCCTGGTGACTGCATTTCAATCAAACAAAGGCAAGGTTCAATTTAGTTTCACCTGTTGACAGAGCCGTCGCCACTGGAACTGGTCTGCCCCTTGCTACTAGCTAGGAGGAGCACGCTTTACACTCCCAGATGAGCCGGAAAACGCCGGAAAAACTCAGCATGTTCTGTGTGCGTTGTACACGACTTTACGATCGCTGGGTCTGTATGGGCACGGCACCACCCAACCCTTCCCAAAACCACGGTGCTAAACTGTACGTCCGACCCGCAGGTTTGCTACCTGGAGCACGGCTCCAGAAGCCAGCACAACACCTCTCGCAGATCCGGTCCAGTCGTAGATCACGTCGCTGGCAGGTGGCTGGGGGGCATCAACTGAACCACCACAAACCGACTTGAGATCCACAGGAAGAGCTACAGCAAAACCTTAATAGATCAGCATGGTGTTATTGTTGAACCAGTGGCAACTGGTTGACACCTCAGCGTCTTGATCATTGACTCCAGAACCTTTCCAAACCTTGATGAATCACTTCAACTACTGGGCTAAATGCTGGAACATGCTATGCCGGGCCAAGATCCAAACTTCCAACCATACCTGCTGTTTTCTAAACCCACACTTCCGAAACTTGAGGTAACCCATCCAGCAATCCACGCGTGCTTGGAGATCGGCTCCTCATCCGCAGCGTCTTCTTCTGACTGCCCCTGAGCGGAAACAAGGCAGATGTAAGGCCGTGGACCTATGAAAAAATGGATGCTGCATGAAAGGCTGGATCTTAGCGGATGCCGAGTGCCGAGCCTGTGGTACTTGGGGCAGCTTCCAGTGACCTGTGTAATCATCGTTGGTTTCCTGGCTGAGCGCAAGAGCGTCTAGCTGAGGTCTTATCTCTGATTGGGGAGTGTGGGGCTCATATCACGGAAACCTTTTGCACTAAAGGATTGAGGCATGAGGGAGCTGCAAACCTCTACTGCTTGCATGCGAGCGTCCTCACTCGTTATAGCCTCGATTTTCGCCGATGCAGTGTGCTTAGCAAGCTTCCTGGGAGCACAAGAAGCTTGCCTCACCGCATCCGATTGCGAGTCGGGATAGCTTCGAAAATCCCCTAACCGTTCCTAACCTTGACCAGGTGGCGGCGAGAATGCTGGCACGAGCTTGAGTGAGTCTGCGAGCGTGTGCGCCTCCATTTCCATGGCTCCAAACTTCAAAAAGAAGCCGAATGCTCTTAAGTCTACCTCGGCCTGAGGATGTGATCGTTTCTGCGTTGAGCAAATAAGTCTGGTACGGAAAAAGATCAAACCGGGGAGGACGATTGATTCCTGCACTGTATGCTAAACAATCATCTTGATGGCATGCGGCGATTTCAAAGTTGCATGCAAAAGAGCATCTCCACACAGGCGGACCTGTGCTTCACTCTGACCACCCGTCACACGGTAGAGCTCTCGCGAAACCAGATCAGTCACCACGAAGGCACCCTCCGCCGCACCTGAAGCCTCCCTCGAACCCCTCAGAACCAGCTCTCGACTCGGCCGGCTGCTTTGTCGTCCCAGCTTACCGCAGCCGCCTGCCAGGATCTCAAACCGGGCTACGCAGAGATCTTCGGCTCGGCTCGTCAGAGAACGCAGAACTCTATGAAACGACGTGACAACCGTTCAACCACTGCGACATTCATGACAACACAAGCCCGAACCGTAACCCCCGCACTCGTAACACGGCTACCCCGATGCACCTGCAACCGCATAGCACGTCCCAAAACCTTTTGCCTTCCCCACATGGGTCCCTAGTCGCACAGCAAACCCATTGGGAACACCCTTGCAGAGGCCTCCCGTGTCCGTGTCTCCCGCACTTCTTGCGTCTCCGCTTCGGTAACTGGTGCCGGCGGGGTCGGCCGCTCCGGAAAAACCTCACATAGGGGGCTGAATGATTAGTTCGGGCAATATGCGGAATACCAGAGGACATAGGTACTAATTATTCCGGGCCCCTTTGTGTGAGACTAAAGCAGTCGGACTCTTCATCGAAAGTACTCCCTCAACTGTCTCGACTGGCACAGAACATGTCGGCACCTTTCTCGGTGCGCCTTACATCCACTGAATCTACTGTCATGGCCGGGCTGAGATGTGAAAGAGGAACCTCGACATTCCAAAAAAGGAGCTCTGTACTGGCTCTCAGTTCTTAGTAACAACATGTAACAACTGATAAATGTTTTCTATATTCGGTCATACATCAAACAAAGTACTTGGGTAACCGCGTCCGAAGATTGATTGAATCTTCTAGGCATATCATCATGCCCACCCTTACAACCCCATGAACTGCTCGTGAACTGGATGAAGCCGGCCCTCCCATGAGCAATGCCCTGCTGCAGTCTGAGATTTTCTGACTCTTCATCTCAAGCGCAGTGCCTGCATAGGCCTAACTGGGGCCATATATAGAAACTGCCGATGTACACGGTGATTGCTCTGGTCGACACTTCCTTGTGATGCTAGTGCTGTCTTGAGATGTGGCAGCATCTGTATGTTAACGCGCGCTGTGTACAGATCGACTGATAGAAGGATGCATTGACAGACAAAACACGGACGTCGAGACAAACAAACACAAGGACGGACAGGCAAAGAGGCAGGTAGGCAGGGAGGCAAACATGAACTGTCAGATAGACAGATGCCAACAAGGAGAGACAAAGAGAGAAGCAGGTTTTCACCTGCTTTACCACATGTGCTGCCCAGGAGCATGGGCCAGGGGTGCCGGGTGTGCGGGAGGCGGCGCTGGGGGCGGCCCGGAACAGCTCCTCGGCGGTCAGCATCTATTTCATCGATCTGCGATTTTGAACCCACTGTTGCTAGTGCACCCAGAGGTTCCTTTTTTGTACTACCTCTTTTCCACCTGCCCGGTAAGTTGGGTCGAACGCCAAGTTTGGCTGAGGCTGTAGCCAGTGGCTTGCGGCCTTTCCCACCCACATTAATCATAACTCCTCTGATCCACGTGCCAACAAGCGTGTCGCAAAAGCATCACCCCGAGAAGCGGAGCCCAACGCTAGCGAAGTTCAAGGTTACCATACTACATGATGCTCCAAGTGATCTGCAAATTGGCTTTGCAGGGTGTGAAGAACTCTGATCTTCAAAGCTCAGACCAACACAAGCCAACAAAAGCGTGACAAAGCAGAAGGAAGCCCAAGCCTAGCCCAATCCATTCGACCAACCCCACCTACCGAAGGCCTGGGCAAGGGCCTGAAGGAGTTGGATCCAAGTACTAAGCTTGGCACTCGACCACTGGCATCGTCTCCCGCCCCTTCCCATGCAACAATCTCGCGCTGTTGTATGCGAATACAGTACATATTGATATGTGGACATAGAATATGTCTACAAGTCCAGATCAACAAACAGACAGATGCAGAGAGATACAGATACAGATAGAGACAGAAGTAGAGATAGAGACAGAAACATGTGGGAAAATGATAAAGATAATGATACAGAAGTAGGTGCATATATATAAAATATACACAGAAGAAGATGTAGATATAGAAACAGATATAGAAGTAGGTATGGATATTATAGATATGATACAGATATAGATCTAGATACAGGTATACACACAGATACTGATGTAGATATAGATATAGATATAGGTATAGATATAGATATAGATACAGATATATAAATACAAAGACAGGGATATAGAGATATTAACAGAGATATAGAGATATGGAGGCATGGAGACATGGAGATATAGAGAGAGATAGGTACATGCATATAGATACAAAAAAACTCTGGATCAAGCGGCTCAGTACGACTTATTGTGCATGCAAGGGGCGTACCCCCACACGGATCAGTATTTCAAGCCCGTTGCATGACGTGCATGTGCTTCGCCTTGGCAACTGCCTGGGCGTGATCTGACGCAATCATGCTCAGGAACTTCCGGATCTGCCTCGGCCGGCGTCCGGGGCGGTTGGGATTCCGGACATGTTAGCTCTCGAAGTCGCTATCTCACCACAGCAGGCACTTGTGAAGGAATGGTGCAGAAGGTCACACGAGCAGACAACGAGCTCCACTTCTAGAAAAACTCTGCGGAAACCGAAGCTTGACCCATGTCTGGTGGCGATCTCATTTCAAGAGAGGCCTATGCCCAGACCGAAACCATTTCTCTGCCAAACGACTGCATCACATGCTTCAGAGTGTGCTCCTGGCGCATCAATCCTCAGCGAAACCCAGGAAGTGAGACAGGGCTGCTGCTGAGGGTCGGGAAAGCTCGAACAGTGCGATCACTGCACAAGTGACTGCACAAGAGTCGCTAAGCCACGGACGCACAAAGTCTGAGAGTTCCAGCTGCGGAAAACCAGCCTGCACTACGCCATGCCTACTCCTGCACGAACCGGCCATTCCCTTTGCAGCATCCGTCAATAGTATAGCATATCAATCATATTATGACACTTCATAGTCGATCATTTTTAATCAACTCCAATTGCATCTCGCCGCAAATCTGGTCGACACTCAACACAACAAGCCATCGGGTTGCAACTTACGATTGGTGGCGGCGACTAGGACGTGTTCCATAGTCTGCAAATGGTCTTTGGGGGTAACACACACACAGACATACATACATACATACATACATACATACATACATACATACATACATACATGCATGCATGCATGCATGCATTACATTACATTGCATTGCATTGCATTGCATTACATTACATTACATTACTTTTATTACATTAAATTACATTACATTACATTACGTTACGTTACATTACATTACATTAGATTACATACACACATATATATATATATATAGGTAGATAGATAGATAGATAGATAGATAGATAGACACATTCATCCATCCATCCATCCATCCATCCATCCATCCATCCATCCATCCATCCATCCATCCATCCAAGCATCCATGCATCCCTCCCTCCCTCCCTCCCCTCCCCCTCAACAAGAGGGTGAACGGGCTGGATCTCCTGTCCTATGTGGACCTGGAGGGCTTTGAAAGCCACGAAATTCACGGCCTGGATCCCAGACGGCACGGGCGCGCTTACATCGCGAAGGAGCTCCCCGGGCCAACCAATTATGCGCACTGGCTGGCCGCCTGGAGGGTCTTCCAGACGGCCGCGATCATGCTGGACATCCTCCCGTTGGCCACGATTCAGCTGCACGAGAGGCGCATCGAGAACTCACCAAGCTGTACCCCGCAGCGTGGCACCTGGTGGCCACGGGAGAGAAGTGGGCGAGACTTCGTTTGACGATCACGGCCGAGATCTCGGTGGGGCGCCCGAAGCCGGACCGCTGGGACGATCGCAAACCGGCACTTCACGCCTTGGTGACAGCCCATGATGGCAATGTACTCCTGGTACCACTTGGCCGCGGTCGCTAAAGACTCCAGGGCGACCTCTGAATCGTCACTGGTCCTCGCTTCTTCAAGGCAGCAGAGGGCCCGAGCACAGATCGGGGCCCGTTGGCTTGCGTCTCTTGGGTGCGGCCCAGCATGAGTCTTTTTCCGGGAGGGATGTGGCTATGGCCCTGACAATCATCGAGGCGCTTCCTGCTCATTTCCAAGTTCCCTCCAGGCCTGGGCTGCGTTCTTCGTTCAAATTGGGCAGCCCGACATGCGCAGTTTCGCGGCCACTGCGCCGGAAGCGCTAGTCGAGAAACTCATATGAGAACAGTTACTTCAGAAGGCAGTCCGTTAACGCCGACTCATGCGGTCCAGATTGGGTTGGTTTTGGCGCCTTTCACGAAGATTGGCCTGGACAAAAGGAGGGGGAGACTACTGTGCCTGGACAGACGAGGACGCGTGGGCAAAGACAACGGGACCTCCACCCCCGCCTCCGGGACCAGTACCAAAGTCCCGCCCTCCACCCTATGCTGATCGCTTTCATGTCCCTCATTACACTACATATTTACAGAGAGAAACAGAGATATGTATATGCATATATATATAATATATATATATATATATATGTGTGTGTGTGTGTGTACGTATACACACACGCACGCACAGAGAGACACTTGCATGCCGGGCCTCGTGAGAGCCGTCTCCATGAGCCGCACCAGGTCTGTGCGCTTCGAGGGCTTGCGGAGATGCTCTGTCGGGGTTTTGGGGAATTGAGACTTTCACATTTTGGGATTTGGGGGCGGAATGGTTTAAGAGTGTATTTCGCGGGCATTTTGCCATCCGCCAAAGATGTCTCGAA